TCTGCTGGCAGGAAACAAAATGGTAAAGTTCGATAAACAAGAGCCCCGGCTCGTACTGGCTCATAAAAATAATGTTTGGCCTCTGTATGTCTTGTAGATCCTTTGGAAAATTGGTTTCTCTTTCCTCAAGTCAGATATTTTCCCCGCTGCCATCTGCTCCCTCCCGCCTTCCAGGGAAGAGTTCACCCACCAGCTCATCGACGAGAGCAGAACCAGACAAACAGGGCTGAGTTCTTATCCCTTCATGGGCTCATCTCCAGCTCCTCCTGCTGCATCTCCACACCCCTCTGTCCGTCTGGCCTCGCTGGCCTCTGTTAACACCACCCCTGACCCTTTGCCTCATCTTCCTGCCGTCCACCCTTTTAACCACACCTTCTGCCCCGTTGTGGATGGGCAATTCCACGATGTTTGTCAGCCAGGATCTGCCTCACAGGGCCAAAGAACCCAGGACAGCAGGTCCAGGGGCTGTCCCCTGGGCACTCATATTAGTAATGGAGGTCACTCCTTCTGGTGAGAATGGCAAAGTGTAATTCCTGCTGGGATTTCAGCACAAGGTGTTGCTTTTATTTGCAGTTATCCTCTCAGCGTTTCCTCTGACCGCCCACTCACCCTTCCCGTGACCCAAATTGTGCTGCCACAGCGTTCCCGAGCCAGCTCGGGACCTCGGTTGTTCCTCAGTTCCAGAGACGTCACTGCCTGTGTTTTCAGACGCCTTAAAACCAACTTCCCTTTTTTCACAGTGCCAGCGAAACAGCTTTCTGTCCTTTCCTTACTGCTCAGCAGTTTGGGAATGTTCCACCACACAGAAAAGTCATCTGTGGGCTTGGGCCCTGGGATTTGGGCACTGCTGAGCTGTGGAATAACAGGGCCGGAGCACGGCAGCGAATCCAGCACCTGGGAGGGAGGGAAGGGAGTTGTTCTAACGCTGCCTCTGCCAGGCCCTCGGGGCACGGTTTGGGATGAATCACCCTGTTCCACCTGCCCTTTCCCCATGCCAAGGGCAAGCATGAGATGGCTGAGCCCAAAATAGGAAGAGGCTGCTCCGCCCTGGTGCTTCCCAGCAGGTGAGCTGCACCTTCCTCTGGCAGGGGCAGCGTTCCAGCAGGGAGGGAGCTGATGCCACGGGGCAGGAGGAGGCACGTTATTAATTATCTGCTGCTGCAGGTGACAGGGAGGAAGCATCCCCTGGTACAAAACATTCCCTGAGAGGGAAAACACAAACCAGAGGCACCAATTTAACTCCAGAGAGAAGGGAGGCTCCGGATGGGAGCAGAGCAGGTGCTCGGTGCCGGGTGGAGCGGTGAGGGTGCCAGGGAGGAGGGAGCGGGGTAAGGAGGATTGTGAACATATTTACAGCCATCTGGCAGCCTGAATTCTCCAAACAACGAGGCTGCCGGAGCGCTCGATGAGACGAGGAGGGCGAGGGAAGGAAGGGTTGGTTTGGGCAGAGGATCCTGAGGGATTCGTGCTCTCAATGCCTGTTTTTTGGAAATGTTTTAAATCACTTGCGAGATTGTTTGTGTTGCTGGGGATGTAGGGAAACGAGACCAGAAGGAAACGGAAGGGCCCCTCCTCCTGGAGTTTTCCTTCCAGGTTTTCTAGAAATCAAGTCATGGGAAAGGAACGATACCTTGGGAAATCTTGGTTTCTTGGAAGGCGATTCCTTATCGGGGATAAGGAATGAAGCAGAAAAGCTGGATTCCTCCTGATCTGTGCCTCTGACAGGGTGTTGGTGCTATCTGAAGTCTTGCAGTTTCTAGTGGGAAATCTGCAAGGCATTTAGGAAAAGATCCCAGGTTCTAGAGCTCCACAGTAACCGTGTTAACACAAGGTCATGGTGCTTGCTCAGAAAGGAAGAGGGAAAGTAAAGAACTGATGCTTTTTAAGCACCAGTGTCAGGATTTTGTTAAGATGGGGCAGTCACAGCTTCTCTGGGCAACCTGTGCCAGTGCCTCCCTACCCTCACAGGGAAGAACTCCTTCCCAAAATCCCATCTAAACCTTCCCTCTCTCAGTTTAAAGCCATTACTGACTCAGCCCATCTGTTGGGAGTCCTTTAAATAATGATGTCCACGTCTCCTCTGGGTCACTCCAGTCGATGCCAGACCTTTGCTCACTGCCCAGTGTGAGCCTGTGAGCCACGGATTCCTCTGGCTCTGAATGGTTCCCTCTGTCCTGCATGTATGGGCTCTTTATTCCAGCCACAGGCCCAACTCCATCAGCCCCAGGGCAGGGGTTTGGAAGGAGGGATCACCATTCCAGTGCAGAACTCCTGAGCCAGCGGTGTCAGGGGTTGGGGCTGAGTCTGCACTTTGAACTGTGGCTCATCTGGCCTCTCCCAAACATCCCCAAAAATTAAAAAAAAAAAAAAAAGATTTAGCCCCCCTGCCTTCCCTCTGAGCAGGGACCAGCTGTGTCAAAACAGAGCAAGGAGTTGTTAAACACGTTGCAGACTAAGGAAGTGGAAGTGTCACTGCAGTTTTCAGTCCCTGGGGACATTTTGTAGAGTCAAACAAAACAGCAGCGTCTGAGAGCACTGGAGGTTTTGCCATTCCTGGGCCAGGCTCAGGAAACTCTTCCCAAAGGTCCAACTACAGCTGCACCTTTCGCCTTTTCCTTCCCAGGTGTCCCTTCAAGGAGCTGCAGCATCGAGCCAGCCCCTCCAGCCTCCCAGGGAGGGCAGGGTGGGGATGCTTTTCCCCTGAGCTTTTCCCCTTTTCTCTTTGTTTTGTTTTTTTTTGTTTTTTTAGGGAAGTGGGTCTGTTCTTGCCGAGCTTCAATTTGAAAACCCGGCTGGAACTTGTTAAGTCAATAATTATTCTTGTGAATGTGGGTCAAACTATTTTCTGCCTCTTCCTCTCTCGGGGCGTGGAAGAGGACCCGATCCTGCAGTGCTGCGAGGCTGGAAGCTGGAAGGCTTCCCCTTTTCCTTCCAAAATCCAAACTGATTGTCCACTGAGGGGTGAAAGGCAGGGGGCCTGTGGCTTCCCACCTTCCACCTCCAGAAGCAGATCCCACCTTCTCCTTTTGAGGCATCTGCCTCGGAGAAAATATTTTAAAAAAAGCCACAACAACGATTTCTGCGGTCTCCTCCATCAGTAACTCCGAGAAATCCTCCTGCACAGCAGGAGCCATCGGCTGTGTTGGAGAGCTGTGTTTATCCACCCCCTCCCCAGCCTGAGAACCCTCTGCCGTGAGTCACTGGTATTCCTGCTTCACTCAGGGGGCTGGGGCTTTTTCCAAGGCTGGGAACTGCTGGAGAAACCAGACTTTATCCACTGTAATTTCACTCCTGTTAACTGCTCTGTCAGGTGTAATCCCAGCCTGCAGGAATAGCCCAGTGCTGTCAGAACACCACGAGCCTGCCTCTGCTCCACCGAGTTTTGCCTCCCTCCAGCAGTGTGAAAGTTGCCTCCAAGTAAGTGTAAATGCTATTTAAAGCCACCGAAGGCCTCTTAATCGGCACCTCCTGCTTTCCAGAGGCCTCTCAGCACTGCAGAGATGCTGCAGCTGCTCCCCTGTCCAGCCTGGCGGGCCCAAAACCCGGTGAAATTGTCACGTGGGGCTGACCCAAAACGTGCTCCCCGGGCAGGAGCTGTGCCTGCTGGCTCAGCTCAGGCCGAGCTCGGCCCCCTTGGCTCCTTGCGGGGGTTTTGATGGGTTTTCATCCCCCTTTTCCCAGGCTGTTGGGTGAGGTAATTCCCCTGGCATTTCATAGAGTCATGGAGTCATGGAATGGGTTGAGTTGGGAGAGACCTCAAATCTCATCCAGTGCAACCCCCTGCCATGGGCAGGGACACCTTCCACTAGCCCAGGTTGCTCCAAACCCCGTCCAACCTGGCCTTGGACACTTCCAGGGATGGGGCAGCCAGTGTTTCTCTAGGCAACCTGTGCCAGGGCCTCCCCACCCTCCCAGGGAAGGATCCCTTCCCAAATAGAGAATCCCTTCCCAAGTAAAGAATCCCTTCCCAAGTAAAGGATCCTTTCCCAAGGCATCTCGAAAGGCAGAGGAGGGAAGGGGGGGGAGGGCAAGGAGGGAAGGAGGAGGGGGGTTTTGACTGAAGCCTTTGAGGCGGAGAGGGAGAAAATAACCCAGAGCAGGCGCCTTGGCCGGGGGGTGGGTGTGCTCTGGGGGGTGGGTGTGCTCCTGGGGGTGGGTGTGCTCCGGGGGTGGGTGTGCTCCGGGGGTGGGTGTGCTCTGGGGGTGGGTGGGCTCCGGGGGTGGGTGGGCTCCGGGGTTCCTCGCACCACGGTCCTTATTTGGCCGGGAGCAGGAGCGTCCCGGGGATTGGCTGTGCCGGGGAGCAGGCAGGGAGTGGAGCCCAGCGCCAGCTGACGGCGCAGCACACGCTCCTCGCCCGCTCCCCGCCATGTGTCGAGCAAACTGCAGCTATTTTTGCAGGAGATGCTTTGCCTACATCTTAAGAATCCCGTCCCAGTCCCGTCTCCCTGAAGCGTAACGGGAAACCCCCCTTCCCAGCCCCCCTCGCCCTGCTCTCCACGTGTGTTTTCAGGGCTCAGAACCCAGACTCCTTGGCCATGACCAGACTCCAGGCCTGCCTGCTCTGTGCTCGGGTAACTGCCCAGTGTTTTGTCTCCGGGGCCGACATAATTGAAGGGCTGGACAATGCCGGCCCTTTCTGGGAACGGCAGACCTGGCACGGCCCCTTTGTGCGGCGTTATTCCCGCGTGGATAGACGTTATTCCCGCATGGATAGGCCCAGCGGCCGGGGGGCGATGCACAAAGCCACGTCTGTGCTGCCCTGGGCTCTGCGGCTCCCCGGGGCTCCCCACGCCCTGCCAGTAAAACCTTCAGGAAACTCCTGCCAGCAGCAATAATCCCCCAGCAATTCTGGTGGGAGAGCGGGAGAAGGACTAACTAAAACCAACCAGCAACCTCAGCAACACGAGCCCAGGAGCCAGGCTGAGCAGCCCCAGGAACGTCACCAACCTCCCTCCAGGGGGGTCAGCCAGGAAAGAAAAGAGACAACACCGACCACGACCAGGAAATAACTCTGTGGGTTTAATATTTTCACGGACTGTTTGCAACGCAAGGTAACGGAATTAGAGTTTCCTTTAAAAAAAAACCCAAGGAACAGTTGGATGTCACCACGTGGGTGAACCTGTGAGACATCACCACGTCCTGCTCACAGGTGTGAAAGCTGAGCCGGCCCCTGAGCCAAGTGCTCGGCGTCACCCGAGGGATCTGAGCTCGGCTCTGGGCTCAGCTTTCCTTCCAGCAGGGCTGATTCTGAGCCAGGGCAGCACAAGCACGGTCCCTGCTGCTGTCTGACTGTGACACCTGAGAGAGCAGAGCCAAGCCCACCAAACCTGCTGCTGTCTGACTGTGACACCTGAGAGAGCAGAGCCAAGCCCACCAGACCTGCTGCTGTCTGACTGTGACACCTGAGAGAGCAGAGCCAAGCCCACCAGACCTGCTGCTGGCCTGTGGTGTCCGGCTGCTGCCCCCTTTAGCTCCAAGAAAAGGTGGAAAATAAAAGAGAAATGAAAATGTAAGATCCCAAAGCCCCCCAGCCCCCCCTGTGTGGGCAGTCAGGTCCCAGGGTTTTTGATCCCCTGGTTGCACAGTAGGGAAGACTCATCACTGCTACCTCCCATCTCGGGGCCAAGGGGGGCTGTGGGGCATCAGGGTGGACATGGATTGCATCCCTGCTGCCCTTCCAAGGGTCTCTGTGTGCACCCCCAAGTAACAGCTGCCAACCCCAAATTCCCCAAGGGACTGGGCCTTTTATTTCCAAGATGAACCTCCTGGTAAAGGAGCCAGCACAACCCGGGGCCTGCGGTGCAAAGGGAGCTCTTACAAAGGAGGTATGAACTGTAACTGGTTTATTGGAACACAGGGTGGACTCATCGGGGGGATGCGTCGGAGGAAAGGAAGGGTCCAAGCTTTGAGAAGCAAATTTGGGTGAGAACAGGCACCTTTTCACTCTTTCGAACACTGTAAATAATAATAATTAAAAAAAAAAAACAAAAAACAACCGGATGGCTGCCCTCCCCTGGTCCCTCCCTCCCTTCCCAAGGCTTGCCTTCACATCATGCTCTTCCTGAACTGCGACTGTGAGCTCTGTTTGGGCTTCGAGTCTGACTGCTGCAGCTCAAACTGTTTGTACAGGTCCCTCAGCTCTTTGATCTCCTGCAGCACCCTCTTGGCTTGGCTCCAGGTGGAGGAAGCCTCCCCCAGCAGCCTCTCAGATTCCTGCAGGATCCTTTCAGAGTCCGACTTGGAAGATGATGAGGAAGAAGAGGTGGTGGTGGCGGTGGTGGTGCTGGTGGTGCTGGTGGTGTTGGAGTCCTTGGCCTTTCTCTTGCCTTCCCCGTAGCCCTTCACCTCCGTCAGCAGTTCCTGAGTTTTTTCCAGTTTCAGTGCAACCAGTTCCTGTATCCGGGACAGCTGCTCCGGCTCTGCCGAGGCGAACTGAGCCTCCAGCCCCCTCCTGGGCACCGCGCGGTGCGCGGCCGAGTCCCGGCGGGACAGGATCTCTTCCATGGAGGCACATTTGTTCTTCTCTGAGTACGACAGCTTTTTGGGGACCTGCGGCGTGTACATGGCCCCTCTGTCGAGGGAGTCCTTGCGCTGCCCGGCCCTGTCCCAGGGGTCGGCTCCCGCCGCGGGAGGCTCCCCGTCCGCCCCTTCTCCGCGGTGTCCTCCGAGCCGGAGCGGCGCCGGCCGGCAGCGAGGGGTGCCACCGACTTGTCCAGGTCCACCCGGAAACTGCCCTCGCAGGTGCTCTGATCCTCCGGGGACGCGTCCTCCTCCTGGATCAGGTCGAGGGTCAGCATGCCGTCCGAGGTTGAGGTAGATGCCTGGGGGGGCAGAGAGCGCAGGGCGTTGGCGCCCGAGGGTCTCCACACCCCGGATACACAGCACGGAGAGGGAAAGGGGCAGGCTGGGACTTGGCCAGAGAGTTTGCATGGCCCAACACTCCACTCCATGAGGGCACAGGAGCTGGTGACCCAGAGCTGCCCTGACAGCCACTCAGCTCAGGCCACGGCTCCAGCGCCGGCTCTCCCTGCCCTTATTCCTTACTTGGGAAGGCTCCCAAGGGGATTTCACCTGGGGTGGGTTGTACCTACCACAGCCATCAGGTGTCCCCGCGTGGGAGGGCGCCGGGAGTGCTGGATCTTGGCCCTGTCGCGCGTGGGGTGGGCGAGGAAGCTGTCCTCTTCCACGGTGACCTGCGGGGTGACACGGGCAGGGTGACCCTCCCGGGCTGTCCCTTTTTGCACCAGGAACGGAGGGCTCAGAGGGGCTGCTGCTGCCCAGCAGCCTCAGACCTTCCCCCAGGGTGAAGGCTGAGACAGGGCACCCAGGTCCCGCTCACCTCATCCAAGATGCGGTTTTTGGCGCGTGTGATCGCAGAGTTGAGGGCGTTAATCCAGGACTCCTTCTCCTCCGGACTCACAGCCAGGAAGATCAGGTTTGGTGCCTACAAAAGAGTGGAATTCAGGTCAGTGCCAGTGACTGAGCTCACACAGAGACGCTTTCACACAGGCCCTGCCCCGAGAAGGCAAAGGAGACCTGAGCCTCCAGCCCTGCAAACGGCGCTGCCCCACCACACACAGCACCAGGACCATCCACATCCCTCCTTTCCCTGCACCCCCAGGACCATCTGCACCCCTGCCCACCCCCAGAGCCCCACGAACCGTGTTTCCAGGCTGCCTGGAGTGGGCCAGGGTGAACTTGCTGTGGTTCTTTTTGCTTCTGCTTTTGGACTTCCTGAGCTCTTCACATTTCTCGTAGTCACTCAGGTCGAACGTTTCCTGTATGGTTTTTTCATCTTTCACCTGCAAAACAGCAAGAAAATCAGAGCCTTGCAGATGCTGGACAGGGAGCCTGCTTGCCCCAGCCACCAGGATTTCAGCAGGACTCGTCTCTTCTGGAACCAGGGGACGTATTTAGAAGCATGGCATGAAAATCACACTTTCCCAGGTTAATTCCTGCCTCTTCCACCCCCAAAGTTGCTGAAAGGCCAGGCAGGTGTGATCAGACACAGCGTTCATGCTTTGTGGACCCTCAAAGCGAGCAGGGTTTGCTCCAGCTGTGAGGAGGGGGGTCCTGTGTGCCAGGAGGGGGTGGAGGCAGGAGGTGAATCTCATCTGTGATTCAAAGGGACAATCATTCTCTGCAGACAGCGGAACAGGAGTCGGAGGGATAAGGATTAGCACTTCCTATTTTTACTCTGTGCTGGCAGCTGACTCCGGGGGTGGCTCCCAGAGTGCTGACACAACTCTGAGCCCCTGCCCTGGGGAGGAGGCTGTGGGCAGAACCCACCAGCCAGGCCAGGGGGCTGCCAGGTGGGTTCAGCATCAGGGGGAAGGTTTTGAGAAGGAACAGAGTGTTGGGGCTCAGCCCTCACTGACAGAACCACTCTGAGGTCTGGGGGGCAGGCAGGGGTCTGGGGGGCAGGCAGGGGTCTGGGGAGGCAGGCAGGGGTCTGGGGGCAGGCAGGGGTCTGGGGGGCAGGCAGGGGTCTGGGTGCTGACCCCTGAGCTGCTGGTGCCATCCCTCAGGCACACCTGGGGCCACGAGGAGATGACAAAGCCCTTCCTCTTCATCACTCTCCCTGTGCACCATCCCCAGTCCCACTCCTATGGCAGGGCAGCTCTGCTCTTCCATGGCAAACAGGGGGGACTGCATGTCCATTGCAGACAGCACTGCACAGGCTCAAATCCACATCCATCTGCTTAATCCGACTCCAGCCGGTCATTCCAGGCTGGATCAGTGACGGAGGGCGCGTAACTCAGGTGCTGGGAAGGCAGATGGTGCTGAGGTCTGAGCCCTCAGATTTCCTGAAAGGACTCCACCTCATTTCACACATTTCCTCCCCAGTTTTGGGAAGCACTGAAGGAACTTCCCGTGACTTTTCCATAGAATTTTGTCAGAGAGGGTGACTAAAGCAGCTTCCTAACCAGGGGCACGGACAAAGTGACCATCTGGCCCTGCCTCATGACTGCAGCTCCCCTCTGTCCTTCTCCTTCTGCTCCTGGGTGTGTCCCCAGCATCCATGGGACACTGGCACTGCCATTCCTGGTGCCCCTGAGCTGGTTCCTGCCCTGACACAGCCCGGGGGTGGGAGCAGCTCCCGTCTGGCCGCGCATCCTCCCCGTGCGCTGTAATCGGCTTTGACCTCCTCCCGCTGCCGCCCCACAAAATCCACCTCTTTCCAAGAACCCCCGCTGAACCCAGCCCGACTCATCTGCAGCAGGGAAGGCCAATCCCCTCCAGGCCCCCCAGCTGTGCCCCCGTGGCTGCTGAGAGCGGAGCCCTCCCTGCAGATGTTCACCCATGTAGGTCACTGGGGCTTCCCCAGCCCTCCCCTCCCTCCTCCGGCTGCTCCTGGAGCTGGGATTTCACATCCTGCCCCCAGGAACACCCTGGGGGAGCCTGCAGGGATCCTTGGCTCAAACACCCTGCAGCAGGTGCAGCTCGTCCTTTGAACACCTCGGAATGACCAAGTGGGAGCCAGGGAGGGCTCTGACACCGCGGGGAGGGGACTCTGCTCCCACCAGAGTGGGAGTGGGACCCGTTACAAAACAACTGGGAACTGGCAGCATCCACAGGGGGATTCTTGGGGGAAGAGGGTCGGTGGCAGCGATTCTGGGGGGCAGGGGGAGGACAGTGGGTGTCTCCTGGGGGGGCTTGGGCAGCTGGTCCTGCTGATCCCACACTGAGGGAACGGAGCACCCGGCGTGCCGAGAGGGAAACTGGAGGGAAGGAAGGGGGAAGGCAACTCAGAGGCACCACCAGCTCTTTTGTCCTTTGTGGGAGGCTCCCGAGGCCCAAAAGAGGGAGGTGGTGGCACGAGGGGCAGCTCAAGGGCAGGATTAAGGTGCGTCAGCCCCGGCAGGTGCTGCCCTGGCTGTCTGCTGGCTTAGCTGTCACCTTCTCCCTGCTCCAGGCAGACATAACAGCTTTGCCCTGAGGTTCCACCTGGCTCCTGCCCGTGGCCAGCTGAGGGAAGGGAAACTGAGGCACAGGGAAGGAACCTGAAGCGTCCCCCAGCCCTGCAGCAGGGGACATCAGGCCCTGCAGCCAGGAGACCACCCAGCCCCACACCCCCCAGCACAGCTGCTGGGGCTGGCACTGCTGACACTGCTGGGATGCGAGGAGAGGAGCTGCATTCCTCACACTCCTCACACTCCTCACACTCCTCACACTCCTCACACTCCTTCCCCTGCAGCTGCTGCCCGCCCGGGCTGCCCCCAGGGACCCCCAGCACTCCTGCCCCTGGGGGTCTGCGGGCACAGAGCGGAAGGGCAGGTGCTCGGTCACTCCAGCCTGGATTTTTGGTGGAGATTTGCCTGAGCAGTTCCCTGATGGGACACAGAGAAATGCGGAAGGTGCAGGAAATCACAAGACACGCAGTGCAACGGCACCCACAGGACACCCGGGGGGTCACAGCACTGCTCAGGGTGTGACCAGAACCCTCCAGACTCTCAGTGGAGCCAAACACCCAAACAGGGGCAGTTTCGGGCCCCACGAGTTCCCCTCTCAGGCTGCCACCGAAGTTTCGCTTCCTCCAGCTGAGCAAGCTCTGGAGCACCTCTGGGGCAGCTCTGGGGCAGCTCTGGGGCAGCTCTGGGGCAGCTCTGGGGCAGCTCTGGAGCCGCTCTGGGGCAGCTCTGCCCCAGGAAGGGACGGAGCTCCCTGCAGGCCTGGCTGAAGCCAGGCAGTCCCTGGCTCAGGGATGCACACATGTGTGTGCAGGGGACACAATTCCTCCCCAAAATCCCATCACACCGGGCATGGCAGAGCTCACAGAGGGCAAACACCCCCACGGTGCAGCCACAGAACCGAGCGTGCCAAAACACCCCCTGCCAGCAGAGCTGGAACCGGGAGCAAACAGCTCCTCGAGTGCTCTCGTGCTAATTGAGCCGGTGCCTTTGGTAGCAAACAAGGCAAGGCTCAAGAGAAGCGTTTCCTCAGCCCCCTCCTCGTCACCCAGGGCCGTCTGGCAGCCCCGGCTTCCTGCGAGGAAGCGCCGAGCCCGGCCGTGCTCCCGGCGCGGGCAGCGCCCAAACCGGGCCAGAAACAGCGAACAATTCCCAGAAATGTGCTGGGATGGGGGGGAGGGAGCGGCGTGAGGAGAGGGAGGGGAAGGAATGCCAAAGTGGGCTCAGAAGATGGTGCTGGGCTGGGTTTGGCCAGCGACCAAAGGCTGAATAACGACGGGGTTTGGTGTCAGGCCCCAGAGTTCAGCTGCCCAGGGGGAGCGGAGCCTCAGCTCCTGGTTCAGGAGGTGTCAGACGAGTCCCACAGCTTCCAAAGGGCAGAACTAAACATCCTGTTGGTGTCTTCCATCAGCTGGGCTGAAAAACTACATTTCCTCTCCTTGAAGGGTTGGCTGTGCCAGGGAGAAGCCCAGGCTCCCATTCCAAGCCCAGGCTCCCATTCCAATCCCAGGCTCCCATTCCAAGCCCAGGTTCCCGTTCCACACCTCAGCCCCTGCTCAGCTCCCAGGAGTTCCCCTCCACACTCTCTGTGTGCAGCGTCACCACCTGCCCTGAGCTGACATCCTTCCTGAGGGATCCCAGCACAGGACAGACAATTCCCCACCCCCTGTGCCCTGGGGAGATGGGACTCACTGCCCTGCTTCCCAGGTGGAGAAATGCAGGCAAAAGTAAATAAGTGTCTGGATTGAATTCATTGAGTGTGTGGTAGAGACGAGGAGCTTCCAGGATTTAACCCTGGCAGGGCTGAGGAGCATCCAGGAGCCCTGGAATTTAATCCCTTCTGCTCTGAGCTGGGGGGGAGGGTTGGGAATGCGGCTTCACCTGCAGAAGCACCTGCCAGTGCTCTGGAGCAGCCGCTGAGCGTGAGGGGAGCTGACAGGGAACACCGGGGCTGCTCCGAGAGTGAACCCGTGAGCTGCATCCACCAGATCCACGTCGCTCCGGTGGCTCCGATGGAGCAGAATCATTTATAACTCGGGAGGGCTTTGATCTGTGGCAGAAATAGGCAGCTGAGTCTCCTTGCCCAGCACTGCAGACTGGGGTGAGACTCTGGGGTGAGACTCAGACTGGGGTGAGACTCAGCCTGTCCCGGGGCCGTTTCCACCCAGTTTCCCGTTCGTTATCCAGGGGTGGGCAGGGGAGGGCTGAGATTTGCCAGGGAATAAGTGATGATTCTCCAGCCAGCATGTTCTGAGACCCTGGGAGTGGGAAGTCTGAGCAGCGCCCTGGGCACACCCAAACCCCGGGAACCCCTCCACAGAGACCCCCGGCACACCAGACCCCCCGACACCGGCACTGCAGGCACAGCCACAGCAGCTGTCACCTCTGTGACCAGCACGGAGTCACCTCAGTGCACAGCAGCACCAGATGTCAGCTCCGTCTCTGCCCGACCGCAGATTCTTCCATATAAAGCCACGGCAGCGGCTGCTGCGCGTTATTTATGGTCCCTCACGCGCACGTGGAGCCGCCCCAGGCCCAGGCGGGAGCTCTGCCCCGTAAGAAACACAAACACAGGGGCTTCTTGTCCAGAACAGGCCCCCTGTGGCCCCTCCAGCCTCGTCCCTGTCCTGGGCTCCCAGCACACCTGGAGTGGAGCTGGAGCTACCTGGCTGTCCTCAGGAGGGATGGACAGACGTCTTCTCCCTGCACCTCTTCCCTGGGCTGATTCCTGTTTGAGCACCTTCTCCCTTGGCTAGTCCAGCCTATTCCCAACCCCATCCCAGCATCCTGACTGTTGGTCTGCATTACAGCCACAAACCACGGGGGATTTGTGCCACTGGCTCTGTGCCTCTCGCATCCATCCAACTTTCCAGATCCATAAATGCATCTATAGATCCACCACGGGCTTCGAGTCTCGCTGCCACCAGCGCTGTCCACAGCCTCTAATCCTTCTCTCATCACCTCTGTTCACCTGAGCGTTCCCAAGGCACCGACACCCCCACCCCACAGACAACATCCATTCCCTGTTCCTGTGTCTCTCTCCGGCTCTGGAGCAGCCAGGAGGTCAATGGGAGCGAGCTCTGGAATTCCAGCACACAGCTCAGCACCACCTGGGCTCTCAGTCCACTTTTTAGACCATTTCTGTGTTCTAACAACCCTCGATGCCTCCACGTGTGCCGTGCCCACGACTCCACCAGCCCTAAACCGAGCGGCCCCTTCCACTCTCCAGACCCTGAGCTGGGCCAGGCAGCCCTGCATCCAGCAGGGAATGTCCTCCCCTGAGGGAAACCCAGCGAGACCGGGGTGTTACCCCGAATTCCCTGACCTGGAGCAGCCCCTGTGCCTGCTGTGGGCACCGGTGCAGCGCTGGGACGTCAGAGGGGACCCGAGGGAGGAGGAGGACTCTGGCCTGGGGAGTTCTCCCTGATGGATTTGGAGGGCTCTGGCCTGGGGAGTTCTCCTTGATGAATTTATGGAGACAAAAGGTGCGGGGGGGGGGCCGTGCAAGGACAGCCGGGTGTCGGCTCAGCCTGGCAGTCACATCCGATTACCCCCGATGTCAACACCGCCTTAAACCCCGAACCCCGGCGAGGGGACGGAGGAGGGGGAGCAGAGGGGACGCGTTGTGCAACACGGTGTGGAACCCGGGGGAAATCTCCCCGTTGTCCTCTTGGCACCGGGGAAAAATAGCAGAGATCGACCCGTAAATGGCTCGATTCCAGCCGGGAGAGCGGAGTAATTTCCAAATGGACGGCGAGCAGCTGGGAACGAGGCGCTGCCGGGCTCAGGGAGGGAGGACAGGCACAGAAGGCAGCCGGCATTGCTGTCGCCGCGGCAGGAAGAGGGATGAGGGCTTAACTCTCGCTAAGTGAATCCTTTCGTGTCTCCAGGCTGGGAAAATGTCTCCCAGCAGAGCTCGACTGGGAGAGTTCGCTGCCGGAGCCCATCCTGACCCGGCCGGGTCCTGCCGGCGCCGGCCCGGGGAGAAGAGAAGCCCCCGAGGAACCTCCTGGGCCCGGCTGGCGCTGGAGGGGCGCTGGGAAGGGCCGGGGCTGCTCCTTTTCATATGCAAAGGAAGGAAGGGGGGATGGGAAAGGAAACTGAAACCGATCCTACCTCCTTCTCCGAGATGTAAAGCTGATCTCCCTTCAGAACCACATAACGGTTTTTCCAGATCTCCCTAAAAATGCCTTTCCCGCAAAATTTCCGCACCCAGCCGACCTTCTCCGGCTGCGCAGGTTGCTGGTTTCCATCCTGGTGCCCCTAACACAAAGGGAGAGGGGGAAAAATGGGGGAAAACGGGATTATTCTTGGTTTTACACTCCTCTTCTGCCCCCCTCCCTCTTTGCCCAACTTTCGCCTCCCCCTCCCTCCGGCCCCTCTCTCCGCCGGGACCCGAGTCCTTCCCCGGGGTCACTGCATGGGATTTTTGTGCCGCAGACGCGGAGCGGCACCGGCAGCACCGGGAGGAGGCTGCGAGCACCGGGCAGGGTTCTCTCCGCGGTTATATAAGACAGGCCGGTGTCTCTGTCGCCTCATCCAGCGGGCATTTATTTACCCATGGAAAGGGGACCGGGGGGGTGGGGGGGTTTGGGGGGTTGGGCTGAATTTAAACCGGATTTTTTTTTCCCTTGGGGTGAAAATCGCATTTTTGCGCTTTTCACGAGCGATTCATCCGAGGGGTGAAATCTGCGGGTGGTTCATATGCGGGATTTCTCCGTGAGGCAGCGATGGGATGGCTGGGTGCAGCACACACACACACACACGGCACGGAGCGGCGGGGTGATGGTGCCTCTGGATTTTATGGTTTCCTTGTGTTCCAAGATGAAAACTGCCTGCCTACATCCCCCAGTGTCCGTGGGATGCAGGAGAGGCGCTGGGCAGGGGCAGGAGCCGGCCCGGCCGCGGGGTCCGGGTCTCTTTGGCTCTGCTTTGGGGGTCCGTGCGTTTTTTTGCGGGGGGGGGCAGCCCAAGCGAACACCTGGCAGTGGAGAGACATCCCCCCCCCACCCCTCCCCAAAACATCCGGGAGCCTCCCTCACCCCGCCGTGCCCCGGGAGAAGAACCGATTCCACTCACCCTTTTTGCAGAATTATTTTTTTTCATCGTTCCTTGGTGCGCTGGGAGGAGGTCGGTTCTTTATTTTGGGGGGTTGGGGAGGGCGAGGGGAGGAGAGGGCTCCGCGGCCTCCTCGCGGGGCGGGGGAGGGGGCTGGGGAGAGAGACACCCCCGTGCTCCTCCTGCGGCCGCGCTGCCTTCGCCCCGCGTGGCTCAGGGCCCCGTCCCGTCACACGCTCTGAGCCATCGCCAGCCCCGCCGCGTCCCCCCCCGCCGCCACCATCCCGCAGCTCGGGGGGCTGCGCTGGGCTGCGCCGGGCTCCCGAGCTCCATCTATAGCCGCGCGCCCGTGACGTCGGGGTTCACGGCACAGGGCGAATCGCAGCCCACGAGGGTTTTTTTTTTTTTTTTCCCTTCTTCTTCTTTGTCTCTCCGGCTCGCCGCGGGGACGGAGCAGCTGAAGGGGCAGCGAAGCCCCTCGCGGGGTCTCCCCGGCGCAGTCCCCCGGCGGTGTCGAGGGTCACCGGGAAACTTCCTGGCAGAGGAGGGGGTGGGAAAAGCGGCCGGGTGGCACTGGGAGGGTTTTCTGCCCGAAAGGTGTTCAGAAGTGCAGGCAAATCTCCGCTGAGAGAGGAGTGGGGGGATTCCTTGGGAAGGGGTCACTTCCAGCACGGAGGGTCTGACAGCCAGGACTGGGTGGGATTCCAAAAGTGAGGAGACACTCAGCTTCCAAAAAAATACCCCTTTTTGGGCTTATTTTGTCTGTCTCCTGCATGTCCTACAATGTCTTGAGTGTGGGACTAAGGTCAGGGATGGCATTCATGGATCAGAGTTGGGTGAGAAAGAGGGAAAAGCAGAGAAAGGAGAAAATAGATTGACCCATCATCGATCAGTGGATCAGCTTTACAATGACCCTGCCCATCCCATCCCAGCTTTACAGTCCATCCCACCACTGGACAACACCCCCCACCCCAATTTCAAGGTGCAGTTTCACCCCAGCACTCCAGGGATGTCCTGGGCATGCACTTGGATTACTGAGTATTTCCAGAGCTTTAGTGAGTGTTGGTATCCCCCTGGCATTCCCACATGATCCCTGTTTGTGTGGTGAGCTGTGGGATGCACTGGACACCTGGGAACACCTGGGACAGGGACACAAGTCACTGCCTACCCTAATCCAGGGGTTGCCTTTGCCCCCCGTGCCTGTGCAGCCCTGAGCTCTGTGGGTCCCAGGACTGGGATTTGCCATCTCTGTGCCTCAGTTTCCCCTTTTAACCCCCGTGGGCAGAGCCAGGTCCAGGCAGGGCCGATGGCAGAGGGACAGACGAGCTGCCCGGAGCCCCCAGAGCAGTTTGCTGGGGCACCACGGGGAACCTGCCAGTTTATTTGATGACATTTTGCCTCCTGACCGGCCTCGTCCTTCCTCACGTCCTGTTTTCGGCGGCCAGGGCCTGCAGAGCGCGTGGTCAGTGCCAGATGGCACCGTGCTGGTGGCAGCGGGACAGCTCCGTCCTGCCCTTCGGATCCAGCGCCCGCTCTCTTCCTAAAAGCCCTCCAGTGCCAGGGAAGTGGCCCTGAGAGTGCAGCAGCACCAGCACTCACCTCCCTGCCCTGGGAGCAGCGATCCGGCCCTGCTCGGGACCCTCGGGCTGTCCCTGTCATTGTCCCCATCCCTGTCCCCGTCCCCATCCCGTGGGCAGCACAAAAAGCCCCTCCAAGGTGTGTTTGTGCCTCTCCCCTTCACCCCCCTGGCCCCGGCACTGCAGCTGCTCCCTGTGCCGATCCATTTAAACAGTCGCCAAGATCTCACCTTGCTGCAGAGCAGATCGGCAAACTCTCGGTTTATTTACGTCTTTAACACCCCCCACACAGCATTTTGCCTCTGGATATCAAGTGTGAAGCTGCTGCCTGGAAGATGAGCCGAGTTTAATTAGGGCACGCGCTTTTCCGAGCGTCTGACGATGATTACAGCGTTTTTGTCTGGGAGAGGGGCTGCTGGAGGAGGGATTTGTCCCTCTGGAGAGGAGGGGGCAGGCTCCTCTGAGGACTGAGCTCCCCTCTGGCACAGTTGTCCTCAGGGACTCTTTTCTCTGGGGCTTCACATTCCCCACCTCCTCCCCTGTGACCCAGGGACAGCCACTCCAGGTTATAATCAGGTTTGGACATTGGGGTTTTTCCTTAAATAAAATCCCTCATCTCCATGTTTTCAATACCACATTCCCCCAACTTTCCTCTCAGAGGTCCAGGAGCATTGGAATGGTTTGGGTTGGAAGGACCTTAAAGCCCCCCCAGCCCAGGCTTTGTTTCTCCCCAACAGGAGCTGCCCAGGACCCCTGGGGCCAGCTCCCCTCCCCCCTGAAGGGCTTTGCTCTCTCCCACATCAACAGGACTTAGTCGTGATGCCAAGATAATTCCCAGAGATTTAGGAGCTCATTTCATTTGATCTGGCTTGTTAATTCCCAATCAAGTGCCGATTAGAGGCCACGGGGCAGAGCTGGAAACGCACTCGCAGGTTCCTCAGAGGGACCTTGGTGTGGTCCTTGGGGGGGGGCAGAAGCTCCTGAGAAGGCTCAGGCTGTGACTGCACCTCGTGGCATCGGGAAAGGGAAACTGGGGATCATCTGACAGAGAGATTGGGCCAAAACAGGGGATTTAATAGGATTTCAACATATACAGACAATGGAGCAGAGCAAAGGGCTCCTGAGCCCGCCAGCTGCGCCCCCAGAGCTGCTCCCCTTCCCCTCAGGGCACTCATCCCGTGTGTCCCGGTGAAGAGCCGGGAGCTGCAGGGATTCAGGAGCTTCCCCAGGCTCCCCTCAGGTGACAACCCCAGCTCTGGAGCTGCTTGTGAGGGGACAGCGAGGAGCTGCAGGGGGGGTCACGTCGTGGCCAGCTCCAGCCCCAGCCCCAGCCCCAGCCCCAGCTCCAGCCCCAGCTCCGGATGGGCAGGGAGGGATTCGTTCCTTCGGGATTCACCGTCGGCTGCTGGACCTCGGCGGGCCCTGGGAGCTCTCGGTGCCCCGGCCGCGGAACCCGGCGGCCGTGACCTCCTCCAGGAAGCTGCCGGGAAGGGCTCTGGTTAGTGGGACAAGGGCCCACCCCCCCTCGAGCCTTTGGACCCCACCAGGACCTGCTCCTCAGCCCCAGAGCTGGCACAGCCCCAGCAGTGCCAGGATGGGGGCACCGAGGCATGGAATGAGGGACTGGTTTAGGCTGGAAAAGCCCCCTGAGCCCCTGGGGTTCAGCTGCCAACCCCACACTGAGGGGCCACCACTGAGCCGTGTCCCCACGGGCCACACCCACAGGGTTTTCAGCGATTCCAGGGGTGGGGACTCCACCACTGCCTCGGACAGCCCTTTCAGTGAAGGAATTTTTACCCAATATCCAACCTAAACCTCTGCTGGTGCAACCTGGGGCCGTTTCCTCTGGTCCTGTCACTTCTCCACACACAGTGACAGTGGCAAAGGGGCGACCTGGCCATGACACTGTGATCCAACAACAGGTCACCCCTGCCTGACCCACTCCTGTGGCTGTCCTGGGACAGCTGAGGGCAGGAGACACTAATCCAAGGGTAAATAAGCAGCTCCCAAGGCCAGGAACGCTCCCAGGCGGGAAGATGCTGCTGAAGGATGGTTCCTCTGGCAGTGAGACACCACAGCCGTTCCCAGGCTGACTCATCCCCTCAATGTGCTGATCAGGTGATCTCAACAGCAATGCTTAAAAAAAACAAACCCACAAAGGGTAAAGAAACACCAACTGGGGTATGCCACAAATCCTACAGAAGCGGGGTTTCCCTAAACTGGGTCTGGAGCAGCTTGTGGATCCTGAGGGGTCTGAGAAATAACAAACCCCTACAATCTCAAGCAGAGCCCTGCACCAAGGCCCAGCTCTGAGCTCCGTGGGCCGCAGCTGGGAGGGGCAGCTGGGTGTGGAGGGGCACAGACAGGACACCGTCCCCTGGCTCCACCTGGCTTCGTGTTCCAGCCCCGGCTCTCTCTCCTCCGGGTTATTTTTAGGCACTGGAGCCAGGCAGAACTGAGCTGTGGCAGTGTTTTTAGGGAACCTCCGGGTTCCATACCATCTGGAGCAGGTTGTGCACGTGACCAGTGACCCCTGAGGGTCCCCTCACAGGCCTCTCTGAGCAGGTAAGAGCCAAAGTCCCCCCTGCCCCAGGGGGATGCACCACGGCACAAACCCCCCGTGCTGGGGTTGTTCCCCGTGGATCCTGCAGGGCCAGGTGAGTGCCCAGCACAGGTACCTGCAGGCAACTCCCCAGGTGCTCCACCCGACCAGGGCCCAGAGATCAAACCCCCAGGAGGAACGAGCCCACTCCCGGCTCTGCTCCCACCCCTCGGAGCGAGGAGGGTCCCGCGAGGCTCCGGTGCCGCCGTAACTGGGTAACTGGGTCAGGCTCCACATCCCGGGATTAGTCCCAGCAGGTTTGGGCTCAACCTGCCCAGGGATGAGTCAGCCCCAGCGCCAGATGTTCCTCCTGCCCCCGGGCGTCCCTTTTTTAGCCGATTATTGATCCTCTGTAACCCCTTCTCCTCCGAAGCCCGTGGAACTGCTTCGGGATCGCCGGGAGCGGGGCGGATCCCTGGGAGCAGAGCGGATTCCCCCTCCCCTGGGCCACCCCCCCTGGGCCCACAGATGTTGGTCCCAGTTCCAGTGGGGCTGTAGGAACAATGGAGCCCGGGATTAGGCTCTTACATGGCTGCTCGGCGCATTAACACCCAAATCCCCTTGTTTCTGGTGACATATCCGCCCTAATCCCGCAGGAATCAGGAAGGCCATGGATTACAGGAGGGGTTGGGACACACTAAAATCTGGGTCCCCTCACATCAGACACCTCAGGGATGTGCTGAGATTTCCCTGATCCTCGGGCACTGTGCTGGAATCGTGGGGAACAGGGGACAGGAGGCGTTTTCGTTGTCCTTCCACCCTTAGGGAAACCTTATCCAAGAGAAAACGGATCATTTGGGGCTGGGCTGCTTCAGAACAGGCTCCCTGCCATCCTTCCCCGGAGCTCCCAGGCAGGGCCCAGCTGGATCCAGCCCTTCCACAGAATCCCAGCTCTCCTGTAAACCATTCAGGGGC